TCGAGATCTCGCCGATCCTACGCATGAGTGCAAAATAAGCTGCTTCATCCTCGAGAGAAGAGTTAGGGGGTCTATAGCAAATTCCTATCACGATCTTTCCAGTTGCCCCACCGATCTCGCACCATAAGTGTTCGATTGCTCCACAGTTAGCCGAAGTGAGATCTTCTCTGACGCGAACGCCCAGTTCGGTTTTAGCGTACAACACGACTCCTCCCCCCTTTCTGCCGAGCCTATCCTTCTGCAAGATGTCGTACCCTTCGATCTCGAATTCCTCATCTGAAATGTGAGAACCTCCCCAAGTCTCGGTTATTCCGATGACATCGAAATCGTTTTCCAGTGCCCTCCCGCTGAGCTCGTGCTTTTTATTACGTAAGCTGCGTGCATTCGCGTAGAAACACTTTACTCTTCCCTGCCTTTCCTGCACACCAGTACGCGGCGGTCTAAAGCTGCTCGTAGTGGCTGTCCCTTGCTTGTGATCCCTTGCCCCCCCATCTACAATCCTAAAAGGGTACAAGGGAGGTCATTGCAAGGAATCGGAATTAGCTTAGTAGAACATTTAATCTCAATCAGGAATCAGCAGATGTAAGAAACACAGACTCTGTGTAATCAAAATTAACAAGAATCCTTCACAGGCTTCATGGAATATGCTATTCTTTGCAGAAAACAGGAAACAAAGAAAGCTCCATCAAAACAAAGTTCCATCAAGTCACAGCCATCAATATTCATGCCACAGAAAACCCCATTAAATATCTAGCAAATTCACTTTTCCATTTAATCTCACTTACCCGAACCTTAGCTCCCATGCCAAAAAAATTTAGCAAAATAATCAATCAATCAAAGTTGAGTCACAAAAAAGCATTCACAATGACTTCCTGCATTCTTGGAGTGACTTCATACTGTTCCAGAATGACAAGAGAGGTTCATTATAGGAGGAGGAATCCATATTGAGGGATTTAAGATGGCTCTGACAATGAGGAGCCTTTCTAACCCAATGGTATTAGCAGAATGAGGAGGAACCAGTTCAAGTAATGTAATAGCTTTTTTAACTTTTAGGGTACTAAAAACGAGGACTGTGTTTAGTAAAAAAAAAAAAAAATTGTGGATGGCCCTCTTGGGTAGTTTTAAGAAAAGGTTATATGGCTTCATGGAAAATGCAAAATAAGAAGGAGGGAGCAATGAAGTACCTATTAGCAGGAGGAAGATTGACATATTCTCACTAATTATATGAGGGGCTTTCAAATGAAAATTTTACAAATGTAGCTAGGGCCTGTGAAACAGATGCATCAGAAGACAGTACCCATGGATATGGTTGGAGCCTAGTACTTCTGATAAAGCATTTGTTTTCAGTCGTTTTGCAAAACTATGAACTACAAAGTAAATTTATAAGGGAAAAAAGAGGCATTCAGGAGGAGGGTCAATTAAAATTCTATTAATTTCGACTAATTTTTAAAATCGTGATTAACACTTTAATCAATTAATCCAGCAGTTCCCAAACTGTGGGTTGCAACCCACTGGTGGGTTGTGAGAGGCATCAAGGTGGGTTGCGTACATTTTCCCAGTATAAAAAACACAACATCTGCATCCACTCAGGATAAAACATGCCCTGCAGAAATGGTTGATCAGTTTTCTTCACATCATAATTACTTTGAAAAACCTCATTCTGGACTCTGGTGGGTCATGAAATTTTCTGTACATCAGCAAGTGGGTTGCGATTCAAAGAAGTCTGGGAACCGCTGGATTAATTCAATTGAATTGACAGCCCTATATTAAACCCATACATTGTCATCAAGCACTGATGGCTTTTTCATCAAGCACAACTTTGAGTTGTGGAATTTGTATAATGTGATAGGTTCTGTGACATTTTGACAGCACTAAATACCACACCAAACCATGATCTTTGAAGCTCCTTGTTCCTCAACTGTCTATCCAATTGGGATTTTATGGGCTCCAATATTGATCATTTTGTCTGATGACTTCTCTGCTGACAAAAAAAGGTTCAACTCCTCACTGAATAGAACCTTCCTGACTGGCTCTAAGTCATGTTTGTCATGTTCCATTCCTCAGTTGCAGTAATAAATCCTTCATTTGCAACTTTTGTAGATGCCATTTGCTCATGGCCATGATACAAATGATGCTGCTTTGGTGAACTTCAATTCCTCCTGGTGGTTTCATGAGGACTTAATGTGAACCTGACCAAAACTAAGGTTGTGATTGTAGTTTTATCCAACAAAAAACCATTTTCTCTGAACTTGGCAACAAGCTTCACCACTGCAATGGGGGAAATCAGATGTTGATTGAGATGATTTCAGTCTAAGGTGTCTGCTGCTTCTCTAGTCCTTCCTTTGCCATAAAGGAGGATGATTTCAATGGGTTCCTTTTTACTCAGGGACATCTTTCACCAATCACTTCAAATAAAAAAAAAAGCTAACATTAGTGAAATTAGGATTTCCTGTTCATGTTCCTGTTAGGATTTCCTGACTTATGAATCACCCTGTAGATTTGGTGTTGCCCAGGAAAATCAGGACAATAATAGTCATTGCACTTCTGAGATGATTAGCAAAATATTGGCTACAAGGCACAAATAATCAGATGTTTCTGGTATACAGGGTGGGCCAAAAAAAAACAAAGCTGTAATTTTTGGTGAGTTGTCAATCTGATTGTAGACTACTGATTCTGATTAAATTTGGTAGATATATAGGGTGACTCAATTCAGGTTTGTGCATTGAGTTTAAAATAACATTCTAAAAAGTGTGAGAACTGCATTTAATTTACTCAAGATCACAAAAAGTAAGTGTTCATTTTTTAAATTTAAACCTAAAATTTTCCCACAAGATTAATCAAGTTTTTCAGCTGGCATATTCAAGCCTACTCCTAGACCAATTTTTATTTGGGAATTTATTCATAATTTCCCTTGCACCATATCCTTTTTCAAGTTGCCAGTTTTTAATGAGATCTTCATTATTTATGTTAAGCATTTTGAAAATGTACTTTCACCTGAAACGCAGAAAACACAAGGAGAGAAAAATGTAAAGTTTTTAATAAAATTTGAAATCCTGCTCAATATTCAGCAAACTAGCCTAGTTTAGCTTACAAACTAACTTAGCTTATTGCATTGGGTGATCATATATTTCATGAATGCAGACCCTGAGTTCATATCGATACTTTCGACAGTACATATGTCGTGGGTCATTAGAAAATAATTATAGCTCTTACAATTTTAGAGCCAGAAGACTGAAATTCAGCACAGAAACCCTAATCGTGTCACCCTCTATATACAGGATGGTCCAAAAAAAAAGCTACATATAGAAAATACAAGAAGAATTCAGACGAAGTGGTTTTTATTCACAAAAAACCAACAATATCAACTACATATGACTGGACAATCACAGGCAATTATGAAAACAATTCACCAATTGGAAAGATAACTGTAATTATTTGTTGATTAATAGCGAATGATATGTTCAATCCAGCGTCCTTCTTGCTCTATGACATTATCTATTCGACTTGAGAAGTTGTTGATCATTTGCTGGCACATTTCCTTCAGAATGTTTTGGATTGCAGTAATGATGTTTTCCTTTAGATCAGCAATGGTATCTGGGTTATTCTGATAGATCCCAATTACCAATCTTTTTTGAAGATGAGGATGGAGCCACTGTTACTGTGAATGGGGAGAGGTATGTGCAGATGATTGAAGAGAAGTTTCTTCCTAGGTTGCAAGAGCTCCCTGGCATAAATATGAACACATTCATCTTTCAACAAGATGGTGCCCCACCCCATACTGCAAATAACACCTTAGATGCACTGAGGAAACACTTGCCAGGTGACAGATTGATCTCCCACCATACTGAGAACTTTTGGCCTCTGTATTCTCCTGATATATCCCCACTAGATTATTTTCTGTCGGGATACCTGAAAGCTAACATCTATCAGAATAACCCAGATACCATAGCTGATATAAAGTAAAACATCATCACTGCAATCCAAAACATTCTGAAGGAAATGTGTCAACGAATGATCAACAACTTCTCAAGTCGAATAGATGATGTCATCGAACAAGAAGGACGTTGGATTGAACATATCATTCACTATTAATCAACAGATAATTACAGGTATCTTTCCAATCAGTGAATTGTTTTCATAATTGCCTTTGATTGTCCAGTCATATGTAATTGATATTGTTGGGTTAAAACCACTTCGTCTGACTTCCTCTTGTATTTTCTATATGTAGCTTCCTTTTTTTTACCACCCTGTATACCAAATTTCATCTGAATTGGCAGTCTACAATAAAACTGACAGCACACAAAAAAAGACAGCTTTGTTATTTTTGGCCCACTTTGCATATCTGATGTTCCCATATGGTAATAAAAACAATAGAAAATTGGGACATCAATGTATCCTCATGTTTAGTGGGGAAAAAATGGGGTAGCCAGCTGTGCTGGTCTATCATCCAGAAAGCATTAAACCCAAGTGTGACAGAGTTTGATGAATCCAACTCATAGCATCACTGCATGGGTGCAGTAGTGCACCCATACAGACCCAGGTGTGCAGGAAACAAGTGCCAACTCAGGTGTTTTCATAGAGGGTCACCCAAGTACTTGGCACTTCCTTCTCAATGTGTGGAATGTCACAAAACCTCAATGGTGACAGCCAAATCTGAGAAGCATTTCTCCAGTATGACCACAATACATAAATAGGGTCTCTGAAGGTTGGGGGCTACTTGAGTGAGGTTTAAGTGAGATGGGGACTGAGGCGGGAGAGAGGATTTTTAAGCTGGAATGGGAGGAATGGCATCTGCTAGTTTCTCAGACAGGGTTCTGAAATCCAAGGAGGAAGGGGGGAAAAAGGGAGAGAAGGGAGTATAGGCAGGGGAGGCAAGGGGGAGAGGAGGAAGAGATGGGGAAAGGGTGGTTCACCCATTTCCCTTGAGAAAGATAAGGACCAAGCACTCAGGTTCAAGGATCAAGCTGTTTAATTTAAAGTCCAGTCATTTGACAGGGTACTGGCTATAATACTAGTAATATCAGTAGATATTCAGTGTTTGCTTCAATTCTATTTACAGAATTTTTGCAACTCATTCATTTTCCTATTTTACAGGACAATTGGAGCCGATAGCAATTGAGGAAAAAAACATTCAATGATAAGAGGAGCATCATGCTCATCTTAATGCACTGGCATGACAGTTACCCCATAGCCAGCATAGGTATGGGTAAAGCCTTCAGTGCCTGAGTTAGAACTCTCACTGCAAAGAAAATAGGCCCATGCCCAGGCAAAGGTATTTTCAGCCTATTCAGCATGAGGAAGGAATTTACCATGCACTGCTTAATAAGCTGAACAACAGCTCCTAGGCTTATCTCATCAGCAAAGCCCCAGGCCAATAGCCTCATAATACCCCAAGGGTCATCCATTTACAATATCCCATCTTGATTGTATTTTAGGTTGTGGTCAGAAAACTTGCATTTAATTCAGGTCTTTTTTCTATTATGATGAATATGGATAACTATCATTATTTCATCATTATTAATTTTTTTCAAATATTTTGCCAATTCCAAAAAAGGGTTAATAAATGTAAAAAATTTCAAATACAAGTTATCTGTAATAAGCACAAAGTCATAAGAGTGATTGCACCTCATAGTAAAGATAAGAAACTCGAGTCACCAATGTGACCTGCAGGCATCACAAAGTTACATGGGCTCACTGTAGACTATATTTTTTATAGCTAATATGGGCAAAAAATGTTAAAACCAGGATTTGGCAATATTGGAAAAGCTTTAGGAAAAAAAATTGCAGTAAACTTAACCATGGCTATTATATCAGAGCCCTCATTATGACATTGGGTATTACTGAAAAATACTGTTATATGTTGCTAATATACCCAAGTAGCACAAGAGTAGTGAACCAGAGGCAGTTCAGTCACTATACAGGCTGATTCCTGGCATTGTCGATAATGTGGCAGTTAGAAAACCAAATCAATCAGTCAGTGGGTCACCTAAAAGATAATTCATTCAATTAATGTCTCCTCCCCCTGGTGGCCCAGATGTTGGGGAGCTGGCAGTGGCAAAATGGGACATGCAGTAGTTGGCCCACAGCTTAGTACATGTGGTAGGCCACCACCTATATGCTACTTGTGTACATATTGTGCCTCTAGCACCTGAGACTGATACCAGTTTATTCAACTTAAGGCACAGTGTCTGGTCAATTCCCCGACAGGACAGTCCCCAAATGACAAATTCCCCGAATGTCAGTTCCCCCTCCCCCGATCACAGTTTTCCGATCTCATGGTCACGGAAGGAGGGCTATCAACCGCATCCATCTCCTTCATGCCTAGGGGTCGATTTATAGTTCACGCCCTTGTTTGTCTCTAAAGAGGTACATCATTCACAATGTTTGCGATCACCTTGCAGGCTTATAATTTTCCAGGTTCTGGAGCATGATGATGTTGCCCTCACCTGCTGACAACCTGCTCTCCTTCAGTTGTAGCTCTGAAATTGCAGTTTCCTTTGTATCTTCTATAGAGGCACTCCCAATACGTTCTTCGTCCATCCTTGCTCATCTTGTTCTGTGTGAGCAGATAGCCCTCAAGAACAGAAGATTCTTGCCCTTTTCGCTCTTCACGAACTCCATGAATACATGAACTCTCACACTGTCCAAGAACTGACCACTTAATGATCTGATTCCTAAGCCACTCATCTTCTACATATATAGCCCCGTTTTAGATTTTGATAGACATCTTGTCGATCGTCTCATCTCTGGCAGCCAAGAGGATTATCTTACAACAGTTTCTGTCGCCTTTTTCATCTTTTTCCCTTTCCCATAAGAATATTTATCAATGATCTGACTAGCATTGTATAGGCAGTCATGTTCCCTAAAAGAACAAAGTTTCCTTAGGTGGGAGGCGAAGAATTTAATGATTTCCTCCCCTCCAGGATTAGAGAAGATTAGCGACTTTCCTTCCGTTTGCTTAGACCTCCCTCCCTCCCTTTGGTTCCGGCTCGGTTGGGGGACAGCTGCATCTCCCCCCCCCTCACTCCGCATGCATGATGTGCATGCATGATGTGCGAGACAGGAAACTTAAATGGGAACAAATCCATTTCCTTTGGGGAAATCCCAAACGGGGAACTGACTGTTCTGGGAATTTGTCATTTGGGGAACTGTCCTTTCGGGGAATTGACAGTCAGGGAAATAACCATTCGTGGAATTGACCGTCGGGGAAATAACCATTCGGGGAATTGACCAGGAACCCTAAGGCACACAGTGCTCTCCAGGACCTTCTTCCCTTACTCAATAAAGTGCTTGCAGAATTTTTAAATGGGATTTGCAGGAGAACACTGATGTGTAACAGTGAATATGACTGGGAAGGCTGTCAAAAAGTGACATATAAACAAATAAAATAAAAAACTCAAAATTAGGAGACAAGAGAATATTCAACTCACCCTGTGCAATTCCTAAGGCACCATAAATTCCAAGATACATGTCCCTGTCAGAAGGATCCTGAGTGCTGTTAAAGGAGACATCATTTGACCAGACTGAAAGCCACACATTGGATCCAACTGAGAAGCCTTGGCTCAAGGTATACATCACTAAGGTCATCAGGGAAAGAGGGAGTCCAATGGATCGCATGTAGTGCATATACACAGCCATCTTTACCTACAAAAATCAACTTGATCAAGCATTCTGCAAAATCCCTAATGAAATGGATGTGAATAATTATTTTGTCTTTTACCTTTCCTGTTTCTGTAGTTTCTTTTTCAATCAATTTCTCTCCAATGCTTGACTTCAGTTGTGCCTCCACCTCTTTCTCTTTTTCAGGCAGCTTCACATCAGCAAGGCTCCTCTTCCCTTCCACAGATCCATCAGATATTGTGCTATGAACATCAATAGAATGATCAATAGCACAAGGGGAGTCAAATCTTGAGGTAACAAAAAACTGAACAAACCTTGTTCGACGTCTGATGCGGTTGGGGTCAGTGGATGTAGACTCACACTCAGAGATATGAGATCTCTGCCTGGAGACCTGTTGCATCAGAGCCTCCTTTCCCACAGCACTTTCCAGAGTATGCTTGAGCTCTTTGATCTCCTCTTTTTCTATTCAAGAAACAGTTTCACATCAAATAATAACATACTCATCCAGAGGTACATTTCCATGCAAAAATATTTTTCAATGGTAGGGGCAACTAATGAGGTTGCTGCACCTGTAACCACTCTCTACAGCAACTGGATCACATCCAGGTGCATTCCAAGATCCATGAAACATGTGAAAATAACACCAATTCCAAAGAAGACTCCACCTAAATGCGAAAAGGACCCATCGGTTCCACCTCCCAATACTAAAGTGTTTTGAATACTTCCTTCTTTATTAAATCATTCAGTTTGGAGCATGCTGATGAACTGAAATGAAGCTGAACAATTTGAAGATAGAATTGTGAACTGTGGTCTCTAAGGTCACCCAACCTGAATTCCTGTGACTATTATCTATGAGGACATTTGAAGGATAATGTCTAACGCAATAACCAACATTCCAAAGAGAAACTGCTGAATAACATCAGAGACTTTATTAATGCCATACCTCAACAACAACTGCAGGCTGTATATTTCAACTTGGTGTCAGTAGAGCATATATGGCTCTTAGGAGCATCCATGGCACTTAGACTGAGCTATACTCCTTAGCTATGAATTGAAAGCCTGGATGAAGTCCTGATCTTGTAAAATGTACTGGAAGCACATTAATAAGTTGCTAATAATTCTGGAGCTGAAATATTGTGTGCTCACTGGGTCAGAGTATCACAAGTGATTATGCAAGTTGTGAAGCTTCTAGCTTTTGTCCTTAAGAAAACAAAAACAATGGTGAAAGGTATTGCAAGCTCCTAATAACTCGAAAACATTTGGATCCCAGAAAAGTTAAGATGTAAAACACAATGAGTGGACTGTGACTTATGATCAAGAAAATGAAAAGAGAATTCAAACCTTCATCAACTTCTTCCCCTTCTTCCTGGATGAGGAATTGGATGATAAAATCAAAGAAGGATCCTTTCTTCTCTATCAACTCCTGATAGCTCCCAGCCTCAATGACTTCTCCATCCTTCATCATGATGATCATGTCAGTATGGGGAAGATGAGCTACCCCATGTGTTACCAACACTCGTGTCTGTTGGAGTGAAAAGGAATTATTGTATGCCTAATCATTACGTTTTCAAAGATAAGAATAACAAAATGAACTGCTTACTTTGTTCCTGAGCAGTCCCTTAGGCCCAATCACTTGCTGGAAGATGTGCTTTCCAACATGACTGTCAACAGCACTCAGAGGGTCATCCATGAGATAAATATCAGCATCAGTATAGACTGCCCTGGCCAAATTAACTCTTTGTTTCTGTCCTCCACTCAGATTTATGCCCTGAAAGCATAAATAAGTACAGTCAACTCTCAATATACCGCCACTGTTGGTCTCAGCTGATTTTGGCACTATATCAAAGGTGGTGCTAAATCGAAATGCATGGCTTTAAAATTGATTAATCTATTTCTAATTTATATAAAATATGCACAAATTATTACTTTCATCCACACATAATGCACAGCTTTGAAAAATGATTCTATATATTCCATCCATTGTTAAATCCAATCATTTTTTTAATGAGTATAACTCCTATGCACTGTCTGCTCACATTATTACCCAAAAAACATAAAAACTGTTCACGAAGTTTTGCTGACCTTCGACCACATACGCCTCCTTCTAACAGCACACTTCCAATTTTTCCTTCACACTTAAAACAGTTCTCTTTCTTATCCCTGGATGGTGAATAAACGTGAACTGTCAGCTGGAGACGCTGCGTTCAATCTGAATGAGACATTTCCATTCCCCAAAAGAAGAGACAGGATTAGGTCAGATTTGGGGACCCTCTAATCCCTGGAGGCCCATTCTAACGCTAAGATATCCCTCACAATCTAGCTATCTATCATGGGATTGAAGGAGCAGCTGGCAGCCTTAAGTTTTATACACAGTGCAACGATCATGGCAGGTACAGTATGCTGCTTGGTGCAATATCAAGTAAGACTTCTATAGAATATGACACGTTTGTGCACGTGAAGGTGTTGGTGGATGGTGGCTTGCGAGGGTGGCACTATAACGGGAGAGCGCCTATGGTAAGTCTATAGGGATGATTCGTTCTCAGGAAGGAGTTGGCAATAAGCAAGAGTGGCATTATATCAGGTGGCACTATATCGAGGGTTGACTGTAGTACAGCATGTTATGTCATGACACAAGAGCTCTTCATTCTCCTAGTGGAGAGAAGGCTCCTCCTGATCATATGAGCATGTATTATGCCAATAAAGAATAGATTTTCCCAAGACAGACTCCAGATCAATACCTACACATCAGTCACTTCTAATGAACTTTCTGAGCTCTGTCATGTATATCATGTGCAGGGTATGGCAAAAAAAAAAGTTACCAATGACTTTCAACCTAAAGATCTCCCCTCACAGAGCTATTTTTGCAAAACTTTCCCTTTGTATACTGTACAGGGTGATTCAAAATAATGTATACACCCTTTGAGTCACTCTGTACCCTTAATGGTAAATGTCAAAACAAATAATGATGGCAAATTTGCTGGCATACAATATTACTTTTTTATTAGTATTATTAAAAGTTACATAAATTATCCTCAACATGGCAGATGTACGGTTGAATTTCGAACAAAGGAAGAACATATTGAAGTGGTACTGCAAGTATGGGAATGTAAATGAAGTGCAGATGCAAGAGTATGGAACAGCAGCTCCCACACATGGAACAACTAGTCATAAACATGATAAATGTGAAGAACACGGAACTGTCCAAAATGTTATTAAAATCCAGTGTGAAAGAAAACAGACAGTGTGAAGTTGAGAACATGTAGAAAATGTAATAACCATGTATAAGCATTCTCCAAAAAACATAGAACATTTGCCATAAGATGACTATTGTATGTTGTTTTCACTTGTTCACTTGTGTACATAGCTAAGTTTTGTTTATTCAATGCAATAAGTATTAAAGATACAGTCGAACTCGGTTATAACGACCTTGGTTATAACGAAGCCTCGGTTATAACGACGAAAGCACCAGGTCCCAGCGTAGAGCCTATAAGGCACGTTACATTTTACCTCGGTTATAGCGAACTCAGTTATAACGAAGTCCATTGAAGGTCCCACAGACAAAATCGACAACGTTCATGTCCCTAATCCGTCATTCTTAACTGAAATTTCCGTCATCGGAAAAATTAGTGTTGGCGAGCCATAACTTTATATTTCCTGGATTCGGCATTCCTTGAGAGTCATGTGGGTGTGGCTGGAGCAATATTAGGGAGGGATAATCCCCAGTAACTAAGATCACCTTATCTTCAGTCGCCATTTGCATTTCTTGTTGACAACATGGCCAATGGAAAACGAAAGAGGCAAGCCTTCACAATTGAAAGGAAAGTGTGCTTGATTAATTTAATTGAAAGAGCTTGAAGTGAAGCTAACATCACTCGTGAACATGGACATCTGTTCATCTGTTTCCATAAATTGGGAAAATCATAACAGCTTCATCTGTGCTTACAAGAAAATGTCACAAAACAAGAAACTTCCTAGGTCTGTCGAGATGACATCGACGAAGCCTTGCTAAAGTATAAAGTAGTTCAAGGTCCAAAGAAGTGTGAACATCACGATTAGTGGGTCAACCTTGAAACTGAAGCTGGTGCAGTATGACCAATGTAAACTGGTTGTAACGTTATATAGCATCAATTTTGAAAACAGGAAAACAGAGTGCCAATAAAGGCAACCTTGGTTATAATGAACCTCGGTTATAATGACAGTTTTTACCTGGTCCCTTCAATGACATTATAACCGAATTCGACTGTACATTGTTTCAAAATGTTCACACATTATTTTGAATCATCCTGTATACATGAGTCCAACTGATCCATCAAACTGATACATCAAATTTCATCTGAATGTGCTGAGTCCAAGCAACATTATCAGTAATTATTGAAAAGAAGTTAGACATTGAGAATGGACAAGAGCTCCTGCTGGTAGTGGAGTGGAGGACACACTCAAGCACAGAGGAATGGAAACAGAGTTCAATGTGGTCTTGATGTACAGGAGGGACGGTGCTCAAGTGTTTCCTCCACTCCACTACCAGCAAGAACTTTTGTCCATTCTCAATGTCTAACTTCTTTTCAATAATTGCTGTTAATATTGCTTTGTCTCCACAAATTCGGATGAAATTTCATGGATCAGTTGGAAGCATACTCATATATGCAAAGGGGTTTCATGAAAATAGCTATATTGTGAGGGGAGATCTTTGGATTGAAAGTCGTAGGTAATTTTTTTGTTGCATACCCTGCACATGATATACATGACAGAGCTCAGAAAGTTCATTAGAAGTGACTGATGTGTAGGTATTGATCTGGTCAGTCTTGGGAAAATCTATTGGGTTGAAAGTCGTTGGTCATATTTTTTTTGCCATACCCTGTATATCAGAGTGTACATCAGGAAACCACAATCTAAATTCTTTCTTCACAGTAACAGGTGAATGCAATTCAATAAATTTATGTACAATGAACACCCTTTTTTTTCCCTGATCCATCCCCATCAAATCCAACAATTAAGAAAACCTGATAAATTTGAAGAGAAAGCATTATGAGTATGAGAGGGGACATCTCCTGGCCAGCAAGATCTCCTGATCTTAAGACTGCTAGATTTTTGTAAGGGGTTTCCTTAAAGAAAAGGTGTTCTCCACAAATCCACACATCATTGATTAACTCAAATGTTCAGCAGTTACAGTGGTCAGAGGCATAATGAATGAGACGCTGAACGATAGCAGGTCGATGTTTTGCGGTCTTGTAAACCAGAGACTTCAGATGGTCCCAAAGGAAAAAATCTAATGGGGCGTGGTCTGGACTTTGAGGCCATTATACTGGGCTACAGCACCCTATCCACTTAAAATGCAGTGCTTCATTCAACCAATTGCACACTGTTAAGGCAAAGTGGAGTGGGGCTCCATCATGTTGAAACCAAAGTTTCCTCTGGACTGAAGTGGTATGTTATCCAAAGAGGATGTCAAAACTTTCTGCAGCATTTCTAAATAGGTATGTGTTCACATTTGCTTCAAAGAAGTAAGGTCCCAACAAAAAAATGTCTCTGTGAATTACCTATCACACAATAATCCTATGATCATTTTGAATGCATAATTCTTCAATCCAATAAGGGTTTTCAACACTCCAATGCTGACAATTATGGCAATATACCATCCCATTCAAATGAAATGTCTTTGTCACTGAAGATATCTGACAGCAATGTTGGTTGCACTTGAATTCTGTCTAATACCGAACCACAAAATTCCATTCTGCAGTTGATGTCATCGCCATGAAGTTCTTGAGCCAAATTAACCTTGATAAGGTGGAATTTGGGCTGCTTCTAATTCCTGCAACTGAACAATGGCTAATTCCTGCCTCTAGGTCAATTTTTCTTGTTGACCATTTAGGGTTGGCTTCCACCTAAGCAAATACATTTATGGCGTTGGTATTGTCTGTACTGGTGCAAGGACAATCACTACAAAGCCTATCTTCCACACTTCCTGTCTCTTTTAATCATGCCAAAATTTTCCAAACCATTTGGCTTATCAGGATGGCTTCAGAGAAATTCCTCACAAGCCTCTCTCTGGCATCTACCAGCAATGTGTAAGAAGACCAATACCACCTTTTGCTGTGGTGTGTCCACCCATCATCTTTAAAAACAATCACCTGGCAAAGTAAAATTAAAGAATTTCAATTACCTATGAGTATGGTCTTTTGAAACTACAACCACTACTTGTGTTAGCTATCCACATGATGTAGCAAGCATCCAAGAATTTCATTATATTTAAAAATTAAACTAGTAGAAAACAAATGTTCATGAAATTTCAGGGATTCTAGCTATAAGAACTTACCTTTTCCCCTATTTCTGTCAAGTCTCCAGCAGGCAAGATAGAGAGGTCAGGCTCAAGGGCACACGAAGACACTACTTTCTGATAGAAATCTTTTGAAAATGCCTTGCCAAAAGTGATGTTATTCTTGAGGGATGAATTCTGAATCCATGCTTGCTGGGGGACATATGCTACGGACCCCTGTTGAAGAAGAATAGACCAGTAACATCAGGACACAATATGCATGAAACAACATGAGAATCTGAAAAGGAAACTCACTTTTGTATTGACCTTGCCAGACAGCTTCTCCATTTCTCCCAAACAAGATGAGAGGAATGAGGACTTCCCAGAACCAACCTGTCCCACAATGGCAACTAGCTTGTGTGATGGTATTCGAATGTTGATGTCCCTCAGAACAGGAGGATCATCTGGTCCCCATGAGAAAGTCCCATTCTCAACTACCACTGGATCCTCTGAATCATGGAAGATTCGTGATTGACGAAAAACATGCTTTTTCTCTGCACTATACCTCAACTATAAGGTCCAGGAAGGAAATCTCACTTTCTGTAGGATCGTGTAACACATTGCATGGATTCAGCTCATCAGCATTCATGAATCTGTTCATCCTCTTGAGAGATACCCCTGCCTAGATCAGTTATAGCATAATATGAGAACCAACACAAATCCTTCATAGATTAGCAGCTATAGATAGAAGAGAGGGTAAAAAGCATTGCTCAACATGAAAACTAAGCCATATAACATCCATAAATACTAAGCCTGGAAGAACTATCAGTCTTGTACTTTTCACACAATTATTATTTAGGTAACCTTTCTTATATCTCTATGATGACTCCAAGGTCCAATAAGATTTCTAAATTGACTAATTCCTCTGCTGCATCATGCATTATAAAAATTTCAAAATCAAATCAATGAAGCCATCCTTATATGAAAAATCATTCAGAGGAACGTAGCAATTTCAGTGGAAACCCAGTTCTTCCAGCCTTGAAACATAAACTAAGGTACACAAGACACCCATATCTACACAGCATGCAAGATTGAACTTCAAAAACTCAAAAAGTTATATTGACAATCAATCAATTGGGGTTTGGAAAATCAAAAACTTGATTTGGATTACCTGGACGAAGAAAACTGTAATGATGGGGAGAAGCATCATAGGGATGCGGAGGATCCCAAAGAGAGCAACAGTAACAAAGGCACGTTGAGGAGTCAGTGTATTTTCCTCTGATACTAGAACATAACAGCCTACAGATGCAAATGTGACCTGATGGGCAAAAAGAAAACCAAGGGGGAAATACATCTAGATACCCCAACAAAGACACATCTAGCAAACCCAACAAAGAAAACACAGGTAAGACAGCATGAACAAAAACAAACGTTGCAAGATAATAAATATGCACACCAAAAAAGTTCTACTTGTAACCTAAAAGGAGAGGCAGGATGGAAACAAAACAGGAGTTGCATGCAAAAGTTGGGTACCTGGACAATCATCATGATGAGCATGGGGAGGAAGGAAAGAGGCATTCGAAGGATGTTGAAAAGCGCAATGGAAACAAAAGCTTTGGTGGGAGTAAGTGTATGAGATTCATCAGAAAGGACATAAGCAGCAAAGCTGGCCACCGCCACCTATGTAAGAGAAAATTCATCAGCTCCTGTAATTTTATGCATGAGGATATATCCCAAAGCATGAACTATTTGTCTGTGCACTTCACTGACATTAATGCAGGCCTCAAGCCCCAGCCCTAAATATTAAAAAAAATTCCTGATTTCCTGGAGATACCTGAACAAGGCCGACAATGAGGAAAGGCAAGAAACTGAGTGGCATGCGGAGGATATTGAACAGGCTCAGAGATACAAAGGCTTTGGATGCATCCAGGACGTTGTTCTCATCGATGAGTACATAAGTGGCAAATGAGGCTACGGATACCTGGTGGAAGATCAGTGCAATAGTTAATTACAGTGAAAATTAATCACTGTTTAGTGCATGAGGACACCATGCAAGACAACTACTACATATGAGGAAAGGGGGAAAAAGGGGATTCCTAAGAAAAAACACAATATTAAATAAAGGCTATATGATGAATAAAGGTAACCTTAATGGTAAACTAAAACTTCAAAAGGTTAACACTGTACATGAGTTAGAAACCTGTGACTTACACCAGATCTATTTACTGTTAAACTCACTTGGTTTCACAATGGGCATCTATGGGAATGAGTTAATCAGCTCAGATAAACCTATTATCACAGGGGCCTATGATGAAATCAAATCAGTTAGCAATTAATCTGGTGCATGTCACCTTGCTGCAACCTAATAAGTAGAGCTGTGCTGATTATCATGATATTTATTGATATTGTTCCTATCAGTGATTCATCTGTATATTGTGATATTGTTTTTCTGTTCCATACTGCTCCTTCCTAATTACTTTTGCATGCATACATGGCTGACTACAATTGATTATAAAAGAAAAAGCTGCATGATTGATGAAGAAAGCTTAAACATGAAATATTTCATCACCCTTAACCATTCTCCACTCCCCTGAATTACTAGGTCTACTAGGGGAAAAGGGTGCTGGGATTGCTTTCCCTTCATGAAGGGAAAACAAAATGTGGAAGGTTTTGTTCCAGAGTGAGATGGCATACATTACCATGAGGCATTACCCCCAGCTTCCAATATGGTATAACCTAAAGGGGAGAAATGAGACATGTACCACCACAGCTCAATGCAACACCCTGTGATTCCTCCTAACACACCAATTCTGTGATGGTATGACAGGAGATAAGTCGACTTTTGGCAAAATTGAGCTGACATCACCACCATATTGAGTGCATCATGATCTTGCTTCATAGCACAAAACTTCTTCATATCTGCTACCTATTGAACATTTTCAGTTGAGTGGGTTGCATAGAAGCCAAACAGTCAGGGAGGTGAAGTGGAGAGGAATTTTAAAATCTTCCTTGCAAAAATGGACTTATCACTTTCTGTCATACCACCATACCACCCCACCCTTTTTTGCAGAAAATTAAAGACACCATTCAATAGGAAATACCCCAGGTCATGACTTAGGAGAAAAAAGGTCAATGTTAATTTCACTGTATGTGAACTCCAATACATAGCAACATGTAATTCCAATCTACACCATGCAGTATTTTTAGTCATTTTTCCAATTCTGATTCATGGGACTGGTGATATCACTATGTCATGCAATGTATGGTTGACAAATTGATTCCAATAAAATCCTTATCACACAGCTCTACTAACATGTAAGAAAGTCCAGAACCAAAATTAAATATAGGTACTTTTCCTTCTTAGGTCATATCTCATCCATGGGCCTGATGAACAAAGGTCAATTTAGTTCTACCAATGCACAAATACAAAATGTAGGCATGCAGAAGGTTTGTAGACTACAGGTATTACTTCCACAATAATTCTTACTTGACATATAATATAGCTAAAAAGTCTGCCATACCAAGAATGGTGCACAAGTCCAAAGAAATGAGGTCCCAGCATTCAAATAAGCAGCCTGCTTGAGAACATGGACTTCCTTGTCACGAATTTTCAGAACCTGATCTTGAAAAGAAGGCTCCCAAGCATACAACTTCAAGACCTACATCAGGAGGAGATAGAGATATTATCCAGCATATCTAAGTATAAGAAATTAAAATCTCAGCCAAGGAAAGTGCAATTCATTGTAGGACAACCTTGATCCCATTCAAGATTTCACTCATGAGTTTCACACGCTGATCTTTCTGTGTCATCTGCTTCACCTGGAGCTTCTTTGTCTTGGCAGCAATCACTCCATTGATGGGGATCATGATTACCATGATGGCCAGCCCAGCCAGCACAGATGGACCTAGAAATTCAACACAATTTAAGTAATCCCTTGTTCCCACATGTGGACTATGGGAAAAAGATAGACCTGCTTTTGCAATCATGACTAGGGAGTGGAATTTTACACACAGCCATACTTCACTGTATAGTCATGCTTATTTAGCTCATTTCCTGTTGAAAAAAGTATCAGATTTTGCATATGGTAATTTTTAATTTAATAATAATTATTGAAAATCTTTGTAAGATGATGGTTTCTTGCCCCAATATCTGGGAAAAGCTGGGAAAAGTGCAGGAAATCATCCACTTCCGAGGAATTAATTGTGGACAAGAAGGTGCATATTTTGCTTACTTTAAAATGGTTGTACATATTTGGACATTTTTCCATGGTAATACATATTTATTAGGGTTGTACCAATTTATTAGCAACCACTGGCATTGGCGACCAGTGTTGCACCATTGGCTATCGGCAGGATTTCAAGCTGCTGATGCTGATGCCCAAAGGAGGGGCAAAGTGAAAAAAAAATACACGAGTACGTGAATGCAGTTAGGCACTGGCCCTCTTGTCTTGTTGAATGCCACTTCTGCTGGCCTCTTCCATACCAAAGTATCAATTGGATAAATTTCAGCCTGAGCATAAGAACCAATGGAGGAAAACAGCAGTAGAGAACAGTAAATCATTACACCTCCTTTCATGTTATGCTTAAGCAAGATATGTGTCAAATGCTCTTAACAGCAGCAATAGGCAACAAGCTAACCACTGATGGACACATAGAATGACAGGCTAAACAGGAATAAAAGTGGTCTCTATCATTTTAAGGAGGCCCACTGATAAGTATCACATAGCTTCCAAATTTGAATTAGTATGTGATTTTATGTTACTTTCCACTCAATCTACAAACCACAATCAGCATCAGCACCTGCTGATGGAAATGAGATCAAATTTGGCCATCAGTACAGCCCCAATATTTATGCATATTCCATCTATTTCTTGTTGAAAAAATATCAGAATTGATGCATGAGCTGAGAATATTTGAGGAAAGCTAGGAAAAGTATGCTATAATTCAACTTCCAGAGAATTAAATCTGGAATTGAAAATGCATATTTATGTGCACCTTTTAAGCACTTAGTGCATAAAAATCACCATTGCTGTTTAATTATGACTCACCAAGCTGAGCCCAGAGAAGATATAGAGCAATGGCTATTTGCAGAGGAGCTGACCAAATCATGTTCAAGTAAGGTGCCAAATCCATGAATCTCTGGGCATCAACTGACATTAAGTTCACAATCTCTCCAACTGTGGTTTCTTTTCGTGCTGCATTAGAGAGACGGAGTGCCTGGCAAGAGAATATGCAAGAAGTAATAAAATCAAGGAAATCAGCCAAACTTCAAGACTGGTAAAAAAAAATTTAAAAATAAATTTCAGTTTCACCTTCTTGTAGACAGCTGCAATGACAGCTGTTCGGACTCTCATGCCTATGAGGAACATTTTGTGAAAATATGCACCAAGAAATAAAGATTGGAGGATAGCCACAAGCACCATGGCAACAGCATACATGTAGCCCTTCCACATGTCATCACTGGTCTTCACAAAGGATATGAGCAGGCTGCATGAGGAAGAATAAAGATAATAAAATTCTGAACATAATTAATTTCACTATTGTTAACTCAAGGAGCCACCACACCCTGATAGGAAGTAGGGTTGAAAAGAAGGAACTTGATGAAACATAAATAGCTTTCAATTAGCACCATCATCTGATTCTCTGTAAACAAAATAAGCCTATAAATGGAATTTGGTGGATGAAATATCACTGTGCCTAACAGCCTCCCTGCTAAGGGTAGAAAATGGGAGTAAAAACCATTAGGGAGCCCATCTCTACATCAATAAAGTGTGCAATAATGCAAAATTCAAAAATTAAATTAAATTAAATGATAACCAAAAGTAGAGGAAATCAATAAGCTGAAAACATACCCCTCCCCCCCCTACTCCTCATCGTTGGGATTGCAAAATGTCAAGCTGGAGGGAAAGTGAAGATGGTGAGTGTGGAGGGAATGATATAATACCTACCTATCACCTACACAACATAGTTCAATTCCTCCATGTGAATGGAGATTTTCACACAAGATTTTCTTGGGTATGTTTGGAACCACAGACTAACAGTTTAATCAACTCTGTTGCATTGTGTCCACATTTTTGGACATGATTAAAATTTCATTTTACAACCCTATTCCATACAACTTTCTTCAGAACATCATATCCATATTAGCAGACATGACAATGAATATGATGTGTCCTGCCACTCTCCTGTGTCTATTACCCATTCTATCAGGATGTAGTAGGGTCATTCCATTTGAACTCAATCAGGCAGCTCATTTGACCAATTCAGAGTTCTTGAGTTCTCAGCAATTGCAATCAATGTAAAAACTAGTCATAAAAAAAGAGAACCCATTGAATTTGTAGTTAGTGAGTTATCGATCCCAGAAATTTGGGGGAAAATGTAAAACTCCATGGAGGGCAGAGTTACCATCTCAGGGGTTGGCCAAAAAGCTGAAATATCAACATTTGAGGTAATTTTCTCAATATAAGAGTTGAAAAATAAAAAAAAATCATGATTTACCAATGCACATCAAAGAGAAGTGTAACTTATCATAATTCTTGTCATTTTTCCATCCAGCAAAGGAATAAGGAGGAGGGTGGTCAAATTTATACAAACTTCATGTTTTCAAATGTAACTACAATGCAGAAACTTCATTTAAACTGTGAAGATGGTGGGGATGCATGGAATGATTTGCTCACCTGTTACAGAGATTCAGTTGAAGCCATCACATAGCTCTGTATGACTAGTTTGACTTTGACCACTTCCTGAGATGATGATTTTGCCCTATTTGGGGGTTTTCTATTTTCCCTCTATGTTCTGCAGACAGTATCTCACTAACTGTAGATCCAATCAGACCCTTTTTTTGCTACTGAGTTTTTAGATTGTTGAGAATTCTAATATCAAAATCTAAGATGGTACCCTGCTTGGTTGAGTTCATATCCAAAACTCCTATAGGAATTACAAAAACCAACACTTACTCAAGCAGGAGGGGCCCAATAAATGTGGAAACATCAGACATGAGCTTGAGACAAGCACCACTCAAAAATGTGCCACCAAAGGTCTTGCATAAGGCAGCCAAGATTGATGCCTGGGCCTTTTTTCTTGGACTCACAAACTCAACTCCTGCTGAATCTTTCTTCCACGATGCCTTTGAATCCTTTCTTGAACTTTGTGACAGCCTTGAGGATGCTTGGCTAAAACATAAACAAGTGGAAATCAGTCACCCAAAGGACAAGGTACACAAGGAATAATCTTTTCAATTGTTGCTTTTATTGGCTTTTAAAGAAAAAAAAAAACAACATATACAAATACATAAGTATACATATGACTCAAAATCACTCACCCAAAATAATCCCAGTACCTCCTTAGCAAGCAGCATAATATAATGGGAATATATTGGCATGATTCCCATAAAAACTTGAGAATTAATTTTCCTGACAAGAATAAGCATTGTCTACATAAACTCCAGCTTTTCCCTATAATCATCCACCTGCTTCCATGCGTGAGTCAGGATGGAATTTGCTCATCTCTCTTACAGAAAATAAGGACAATTTCCTAAGTTTTAAAAAGCAACATGAATTTGAAATTCCGAGTTTTCCAAGCTTCCCAGGCCAGTAGAAACCCAATCATTAACACCTTAAAATGTATATCCTTTATATGCCAGTCTAACTTAAATGGCAAAATCTCCATACCCATGAAGGAATGGAAAAGCAGGTTTAGGATTTATGGTGGAAAATCTGGAATTACTTTTGTGTCTTGAGCAAAGAGACCCTCCAATGCTTGTCAAATTCTGGGACAATGTTCTTGGAAAGGTCCTCTTCATTGAGGTTCCACAAGTCATTCACAGTGACAGGTCGTCTCCAACCAAGCCAAGCCATGCCATCAAACCATGAGAAGGTGATTTTTGACAGGAACGATGCTGTACCTTCTGGACAAGGTTTCTGAAACCAACAGAGAAAACAAACACCACTGCTTAGGAATCACCAATGGTATTTATAATTCTCTACCAGAACCAATATTACTCACCTCAGCTAACTCAATGGTTTCAATGTATGTTGGCCTAGCATCAGCAAAACAGTGAAGTAGCCACACAGCAGTGACCAGAGGGAAGTACAACATATAAGTCACAAATGGCAGCATAGGCTCTCCTGGGTAGCCCTATAAAAAATAACAGTAAAACAAGGAAATTTAGACTCAAAGGCATGCCATTAAACTAGTTTGAATAAAATGCATGATTAAATTTCCATTTCCCTGGTTCATCCAGGGTGACTTCAGCAAGGATTGTACTGTAAATGCAGGGTGTCCTAAAAGTTCCTGTGCTTCTTTTTTCTATGCTTAATTCGATACCGTTCCTCACAAGAGGTTGCGGGTTAAGCTGGAGGCGCACGGGATCCAGGGTAGGACGAGCGAGTGGATCAGTAGCTGGTTGGCAGGACGAGAGTAACGGGCTATGATAAATGGGGAAACGTCGAAGGAGGTCGGAGTCGCAAGCGGTGTCCCTCAAGGCTCGGTCCTTGGACCGCTCCTGTTTTTGGTCTACATAAACGATTTGGATCTCGGCGTAGAGGGTAAGATAAGTAAATTTGCCGACGACACCAAGATAGGTTTTACCATAAGGGGGGAGGCGGATAGGGCTCGAGCCGAGCGAGATTTAAGTCTTTTGGACGAGTGGAGCAAGAAATGGCTCATGAGGTTTAATAAAAGTAAGTGTAAAGTTCTCCACGTCGGTCGAAACAACGGTAGGTCTCTCGACACGTTCGGCGATGTTAAATTGGATGAGGCAAACGGAGAGAGAGATTTAGGTGTTTCTATCGATGAGGACCTCAAGTTTTCCTCGCACGCGCAAGCGACGGTGGCCAAATGCAATAGGATTCTAGGTTACATTCGTCGGTCGGTTGCAAGTAGGACATCTCGCGTTATTCTTCCGTTGTATGCGGCGCTGATAAGACCCCAGCTGGAATATTGCATCCAGTTTTGGAGGCCTACAAATAAGGGCGATTTGTTGGCGCTCGAGGGAGTACAGAGGAGGGCCACAAGAATGATTAAGGAGGTTAGGGGACTCTCATACGAGAAGCGTTTAGAAGTGTTGAGACTGTACTCGCTCGAACGAAGGTTAAGGAGGGGCGATCTCATCCAGGCTTTCAAGATAATTAAAGGAATAGATAATGTCGAGTGTGGTAGGTTTTTCCAGTTTGATGGCAGCAAGAGAACGAGAGGTAACCAACTTAGGTTGCGCAAACCGCAGGTGCGGCTCAGGTCGAGACAGGAAGTCTTTACTTGCAGAGTGGTGAACGCGTGGAATGCGTTAGATGACGAAGTAGTGGCTGCCCCTTCTGTGACTACCTTTAAGAAGATACTAGACTCTTTCAGGGACAGGCAAAAAGGTGGGGGCCAATGTTGACGTTAAGTACTAGACAGTAAGCAACTAGGATCAGCAAATAACAAAAAAAAAAACAAAACAAAAATACAAAAATATTTAGCTTGAAGAGGGTTAAGCCTACCCTAAAATTAAGGAACGCTCGACATCGACACGTGATATCGAAATGGGCGAAATCGCCTCTTGATATCACTAACTATCTTGAATCTTATTTTAGCCCATAAACACGTCGCAAAATTTATTGCATTTTACATCGTCTTGAAGGACTTTTTCTCCTCTTTCATCTGAGCTAAGCTTTCTCTACTGCCATTTAAAATCCCCCTACAGGTATTTTAAGCCATGGACAACTTTCGCACTGCAATCGTCCGTTTATTCGAAGATGGAAAGCGAATTTCTGAGATCAGCCGCCTGCTCAATGTGCCATGGTCAACTGTCTCCGATGCCGTCAAACGATACCAACAGACTGGGAGCAATGCAGACAGGACAAGAAGTGGTCATCCGAAATCTGCAAGGACCGCTGCTAACCGACGAAGCATCAGAATCCGAATTCAACGCAATCCACATTGGTCCACAAGAAAACTCGGCAAAGTTCTCGATACCTCAAAGGATTCTGCCCAACGAATACTCAAGGAGGATCTGAAGTGGAAGCCGTACAAAAATCAAGAACGACAATTGCTAACAGAAGCTATGAAAGCGGCAAGACTCGAGCGATGTCAACAGCTGAAATGCAGACTTGTTTGAAATTTGCATCGTCGAATTATGTTTTCAGTTGAAAAGCTTTCACAATCAAGCTAGGCCACAATTGACAAAACAACAGAAGCTGGACACCTGAGCCACCACAGACAAATAAAAACCGAAGTCAGTGATGGTGTGGGCAGGAATCACGCACAATGGAAAAACACCTCTGGTCATCGTGGAACAAGGTGCAAAAATCAATTAGGAAGTCTACCGTGAGCAAATTCTGGAAGCTGTACTGCTGTGGGCCCAAGAACACTTCAGATATGAGGAATGGACATTTCAACAGGACTCCGCCCCAGCACACAAGGCGTGAAGAACTCGAGTGGTGCCGAGACAATTTACTGGGTTTCATCAGCGCAGAAGAATGGGCAGCAAACTCGCCGGATCTCAACTGCATGGATTACTCAGTATGGGGCATTCTGGAGAGCCGAGCCTGCGCAAAGCCCCACAAGTCATTGGAATCACTCAAGAGGACTCTGCAGCGAGAATGGGACAAGATCACTGGAAACTCTGGACAAGATCATCGACAACTTTCCAAAGAGACCGAGGGAATGTATCAAAGGCAGAGGCGGCCACTTCGAATGAATAATGAATCTAGAGAATGTGAGCTTTCGATTGTGTGGTTGTTTGTCATTATATGTTTGTGATTTTGAATAAAAATTGCTGTTTGAAAAAAAAATCACGGGAACTTTTGGGACACCCTGTAATGCACCTTTTTTTTTCCCAAGAAAACAACTCAATTGGAAAAATCTGAGGGGGAGGGTAAGGTTTCATGGAACCCTGTCCATTTGCATCTTTTCTGTTAGCACTCCACTGCCTAACAAGCAACCTTATGAACCTTCCATGACCTCTTTCCTATATCTTCATATGGATCCCTTCTCTTGCATTTTTCTATTACTTTTCTTCAGATTCCACACTTCATAAAGGAAAGTCCTAAAATGAAATACTACACTGAGGGCATGACTAAGATCATGCCTTTGATGAGGATCTTGGAAAGCTCTAAGCTTTCATGGCTCCTTTTTGCTATCTTATTTCCATGCCAAATTCCAGGTCTGTGCTCGAATAGTTTGGTGTTGCATACTGAATCTTACTTCTCACACTTACAATTTCATCCCATATTTAGATGAAGACATCAATGCACTCATCTTTATCAATGAGAATCTCATTGAAAAGAAAAATATCCTGCTATATGAAGTAGCCAGACTCTGTTGGAAGAACAACTGGCAGCACTTTTGAACCCCAAAATGGAAAAACCTTTTTGACAAAGTGGGAAGCTTGGAGAGTTTATTCTGAGGATGACCTCAAAAAACTTCTACCTAAAATCCTTAAGATAGTCTGCTTATGTGTTTTGTTCATGCTGAAAAAATACATTTTATTAAGTCAAATGAGAGTACATAATATTACTTACCAGGATACTTCATGGGAGCTAAATGCCAAACCAAATGGACAGGTGGTGGTACTTTGACTCAGGGACGTAGCCAGGGGGGGTGTCCTGGGTGTCCAGACACCCCCCGAAATGAAGCAAGATTTCATGAAAACTAGTACTGGAGTTGGGGGGGGGGCCACTTCATCATCTCATGAGCCTAAAAGAGCCTCACAAGACACCCCCTGAATATAATTCCTGGCTACATCCCTGCTTTGACTTATATGAAAGAAAGTTCTAGTTTCCAGAAAAATGTTTGCAATATTAACATAATGGAAGCTAAAAGTTCATGGATTGAGATTCATGTTTCAGATGAATATGAAGGCAGACATTTGATAGGTATTATCTAACACCCACCCCTGGGAAATGCAAATATGTTCTACAGGGTGGGCATGAAATACTTGACATTTCAAAGTAATTTTTAATGGGCATTATGATAGGAAATGAAATTATTCATATAGCATATTAAACTACAATCTAAGGAGTTTTACACATAATATCCATGTCTAGTTTTTGCCTCGTTTATGTCTTGAAAACAGTGGGACATTAACGTCCACCATTTTTCTGCATGCATTGATACGCATGGATCACTGTGTATCGCATCACCTTTCACCAAGCGTCGATTGGAATATTGGCTATTGCCAATACTCCAATTACAGAATTAAAAACAATTGATATAAAAACTGGCAATAACACATGATGGCATCCATCCTCAAATATTGAGCTAAGGAACAGAAATCATAGCAGCACCTCTAACTCACACATTTAATCTGTCCATTATTAGTGGGAGAGTTCCAGACAACATCAAGCCTGCAAGGGTCAAACCCATATTTAAAGGTGAAGAGTATACAGTGTTTAGCAAATGAATTTGTACCACCTTTAACATTGTGCACAGTAACGCTATGGATCTATGGATCATCCAATGCAACAGCAGAGGAGGTCCAATTATTGTTTCCATTCCAGAGGGTAGATGACTCCCTCCAGCTTCAGACAGCCATATCACATCAATTGGTTATTCACTTGGGAGCTGTCATACAGCAAAAGATGACATCACATGGCCCATAAGAAAGGGTAGATGAGTCATCGAGCACAGGATCATTTCCAAACACCAGGCTGGGCAGTCATACACTGATTTCCTGAACTTTGGGAAATCAGAGAAACAAAACCTGTTTATTCTAACTCATCGTTTTCATCACAAAAGGGAAAAAGAAAACAGTTTCCATTATACTTCATTCTTGTCTAGCTCTTATGTTCCTATCCTCAATGGTCTCCAATCTAATGCAGTTCACTATACATACATTGAATGTCACCCAAGTGCCACCATCCAGGTTGGGAGTATTCCTCCATAGAAAAGCATGGGCTCCATGTTAAAGGTGGTATGAATTTATTTCCAAAACACTGTATGGACATTAGTAATTACAGACCTGTCTAAATTTTGCTGGAATGTTCAAAAATCCAAGGGAAACTCTTGTGTAAAAATAAAAGGACTGATGTGCTTCTTGGGAAATCAAAACTTCTCTTATCAATAACAAAATGGATTTAGACAGCAAAGAAGCACTACTGCAGCACTGGATGTGCTCATTAATAAAATGAGAGAACCAATTGATGAAGGTAATACATGCATTGAAGTCTTAATTAACATTAAGAAAGCATTTGTTATAGCATCACATGATACACACCTAAAAAATACTATCAATATCAAGTCTGAGGAATAGCACTTGACTGGTTTCAAATCTACTTAGATAGTGGTCAACATTGAAGTTCCTCAGGAGTCCATCGTGGGTTCTTCATTTCATCTCATATACATGTGAATGATATGTAGGCTATGTAAATCTTTGATGGAAGGAGATTAGAGAAGAGAAATATCTAAAAACTTAAGCAGATGGATAAAGGCAAACAAGCTCACAATCAACATTAGAAAAACTAACCTCACAGTAAGACAGTAAGAAAATGTATCAAAATAGAGGGGATAAAATTATGCTTTGATAAGGTAATCTTACATGAGGAGGTTCAAATAAAATATTTGGGTGCATTATTGGGCAGAAACTTAGCTTAGGGCAAACAGATACACCAAATCTGCTCAAAAACAACTGTAATTAATGAGATGATAAGTAAAGTACAATACAGAATTCCATGATCACTTTTAGGAAACATCTGCTACACTCTAATTCATTCAATATAATCTACTGCTTATCAATATGGGGTAATACATATCAGAAGTGTCTACATAAAATTGAAAAGCTCCAGAAATGAAGTATCAGGATTATGAAGCTTTGCTGGCTAAAGAGAACACATTAAAGATCTCTCTGTTCTGTATAATTCTTGAGAAAATTAATTCTGTTTCATCTTTGTCAAATAAGTTATCTCAAAAGTGAAGTCTTGATGACAGATACTTAAAATCAATTAGGGCTGCCAACTCTCATCATTACAAAACAAGAGCCTCTAAAGCAGTAAAATTTCAAAAACCAATAAAAAATACATTTGCATAACAAAATATCTCACAAGAAGGACAAAGAGTATTTAATGGACTTGCTTGAAGATAAGGTTAACAAAATCAATTTGAAACTTTAAAGCCAAAGTATTCCATTACTTAACCTTTTGACTGCTACTGATGCCATATGGCGTGGCGTGACGCCATATGGCATCAGTCCCAATGCATTTTAAATTTTAAATACCATTTTAAGGGTCAGGTATTTAACAACTTAAATGGACATCATATATGTATGTATCACTCATTATGGCTCCACATTTAAGTAAATATCAAGAACAACTTAAATTTGCATTTTTGGGGGGAAAACCCAGCACAGGGGGTATTACAGGCCCATAAAAACCCAGCAGTCAAAAGGTTAATGATGAGAACTTAACATGGGAACCAGTTCATTCATAATGATAATACTTGTTTCTTGAAAAAAAAAATCACTTACCTTGACCCAAATCAGGTCCTGAAAGCAAAAACTATAAACTTTTTTCTTCTTGTAAAACATATAACAATCATCCATGTATGTGTGCACAAGCACAATCAATTATAGTAGATAATCTTAAATATAATATCATTCATTCCAGTTTCCCCTGATTTCTTCTCCATCTTATATAACATGAACTAAGGAAAATCTTGTACCTTGTCTATCACCAATATAGTGGCAGGAAAACTCACTGGACTGGTAGCATGAAGAATATGACTTCTGAATGTAGCAATGCCACAAAAGAAAAGAAGAAACCAAAATATGAAGAGCACTCCAGAAGTGTGGATGCCACGAATTCTCTCCATCACGATGAAAATAAATGCCAAAAACTGGTAGAAGAGGAAATATTCGTCAATCAATCAAAACATCTAAATAATTAGGGTACTCAACATGAATGTGACTAACAGTAACATCCAAGGCATTGATTCTTACCAAAGTCAACATTTTTATGGTAGGTGTAACAAAATAAACTGAAGCACCAGGTCCAATGTGAATGGCAAAAGCAAGATCCACAGCATTCAGCAACACCAAAATAAACACCAGTAGCTGAAACACAATTGATATATGACATAGTCAAGAAACTATGATAAATCATCCAAGGAAGGAGGGAATGCTTATCACTAATTTTTTGAGACTCACGTGTTTCACAATATTGATCCACGTCCATGGGATGTACCTCCCTTTGCTGTTGATGAGGTAGTGTGTCTCCAGGGGAGCAAACAACCACAAGAAAGCACAAGGCACCCACAGCAAGACAGTGTTATGAAAACAGGGAGTGAAATCAGGATTGTCTGTGTACCATGTGATATTCCAGTCCTGAAATTATTCAGTACCAGTTTTCTGAAAGTTTACTTCAGGCAACTATCATTACATCAATGTCAAAATTCAATTCTCACCCAAAAGGGGGTTTTGCAATATCCACCAAGACCACCAACTGATGGAGAGTCAGATGTCTCCATGATGAGCATTCAAATGGGGGTTGAACTAGAACTTTAGATAGAAAGATGTGGGGCAGACCAACTTCTAAGCTTCTTCCTTCTTCCTTTTTCTCTAGTCAAGTTAGATGATGAGATGTAAGGATCAAAAATAAAATTGATAAATGGCACAGATCTACTTGCTAATCATCTAGGTTCCTGATTATGGAATGGTCTCAGCCTAAACCTGCTGCAAAGACAACCTTTAATCAGGCCTACTCAGTGCCACTCCACCGGAGCCAAGCTCACCATATTCCACATTTCAACAAGTTCAGAAAACCTGCAGAAAAAAATAAGAAAAACAGATCTTCATAATCAATTTGAACAGACACTGTGTATTTACAAACTGATTTTGTGAATTGTGACTGTCCCTGTAAACTTTTCCATTGTAGGCCTAAGCTCAAATCAATTGATTCAAAAAGGTTAAGAGTATATTTACACTGCTTTCAGATTGAATTCATAATCCTCACACTCCATCCCCTTCATAGGAGTGCTTCCATCATAGGGTGTTCAAATTTTTCCTGGAAAAACTGGGAAATTTTCAAGAAAATGCCAGAATGTTAGTCCCTGCAATGGAGCCAAAAAAAAACCAGGACACAAGGGAAAATTCAAACCAGGACAGAGCCTGAAAAACTGGGATATCTGGTTACCCTATTCTACCAATTACAAGCAGAAACATCTTCCCAATGAGTGGTTTCATGGATTGTTTGATGAGGCAAATCTTTGGAAAGTAGTGCTTTTTCTGTTCTCTAATACCATGTGATAGTTCTTGTAATATGAGTTAATAAAAGTAATTTTCCCTTCATCTGTGAACTTTTTAAGTGATTTCTGTCAAAGCTAGAAAAATAACAGTCTGTGAAACTTTTGGAGTCAGGATTTAGATAAAAGGCAATTGAACTGACAAATAGAATATTTTTGTGCCATAATCTGCTTTGATTTTTAAATGTGTAAGGTGTCTCCCCAGAATGAATACTTATTTCATAGTGGATAAGCAGAGGTTTTGGTGGTGAAAAGAGAAAAACCTTAGCATAGATGAATGTAGTGTGACCCCAAATTTCCATGTTGGAAGTCTAACAAAAATGGAATGTTTTTGCCAATATGGCGACATGTAGTGTAAGACCAAAACAGGTACAAATGACCTTTACACAAAGATCTGCAAATGTTGATTTAGTATGGTTTTGAAAGGCAGCTACCTGTGAAACAGTGTTTTTAAGAGATGAAATCATTCCTGGGTCATCTAGTCACCACTGCACCAAATTTGAATCTCCTCTATTGAATTTCTGCAGCATTTCTTGGCAGTTATTGATTTGAACCATTTTTTTTATCTTTAGCTTGGGCATGGGAGACCCAACAAGAACAAAATTTCTGCACCCCAAGAATTTCATGCAGAACTTTTTTAACTGCAGACACTCCAATCCCAAGGGTCTCCTCTATGACAGCATATGTCACATTTCATTCTTCCTAAATCATGGCCTTCACTTCAGCTGCATTTGTTTCATCACTTCTGAAATTGGATGACCTTCATGGGGCTCATCCTCCAGACTAAAATGTCCACACCTGAAATTTTGAAACAAGTCATCCACAAAGCACATAGATGGGGCAAGATCACCCAGTTATGATTTCATCTAGGCAAAACACTTTTGCAGTTATGTGCCTTTGGAAACCATACAAAGTTAACACTTGTAGATCACTATGGGTCAAGGTCATCTGTCCTGGGGGTGACCCCATCTGGTCTTAAGCTACATGTCACCATTTAGCCAAAAAAAAAAAGATTTAAATCACGGAATCCTATTGAATCCATGAAAAATAAAAACAAATACAAAAATTTTCATTAGGATCAGGGGACATTTAATGCTATTTGGTATGAACTTTTGAAGTGCCCCTCATATTTTTGGAGCAAGTGAGCAGCTGCACTGGTAACTCCAACTACAGGAGTTCCAGGTTCAAACCCAACCAATTTTGCCATTTATTTATGAATGAAAACCACAGCATGCTTGGAGGAGACCCCTTGAGCACTGGGCACTCTCATCTCTGGATGTTGGACAATAAAGAACCCCAGCAATGAAGAACAAACCCAGGTATTATGAGATGCAGTCAAAAACTAGCCTCCATTGCCATCTAGCGAGAATACAGTAAATGTTATAGTAATGCTGGTGCCATCTTCTTTCATCTTAATCTATAAGCTGTGTGTAGTGCAAGTTTCAGCCTGTTGCAACTTGTTCTAAAGGCATGACAGTCAGTTGTGTGAGACCTATTTTTTTATACTGTCTTTGACACATAAACTGGCTTCATACAATTCATGCATCATCAGGACAATGTGCCACCACACAGAGCCAGCATTGTGATGGTGTTTTTGATGGGAAAATACATCAAAATCATTTGGCACCCTCACACTTCTTGCTGTTCAAAACTCTCAAAGATTCTCTGCGAGGAACTCATCACTCATCAAGAACAGCATTGAGGACAGCAATTCACCAGTGTTCCAAACACATCATTAAAGACTCATTCAACATATGTTACCAAAACTGGGTTAAGCGGTGGCATCTGTGTCTGGAGAAAGTTGGTGACTATGATGGAAAAGTGGACAGAGTTTGGATGCCATGCAGCAAGAAATACATTTGGTAGAGTAAAACGGAGGCTAATTTTGGACTGCACCTCGTATATCCCAGCTTAACCACTTAACCTAAATTGAGTTTCCCAAGGAGAGACATTACTTATGTTAACAGACATCACAGTGGGAGGATCAGTGAGTGTTCCTAAGTCAGGGTACAATCTTGGGCCAAGAGCCTCTTGATATCTGAGCCTAATATCATATTCAGAAAAAGGAGGAAACATTGAATGACTTTACATGTGAACTGTTCAACTATTTGTTGGCAATATTCATATTGCAATATTACCTTGATGGCAGCCTATGAAATCCAGTATATCAGGAGTGTCAAACTGGCAGCCCAAACAGATCTGGCCAACCAGTCACTTTTGTCCGATCCTGCAAAGTCTCTTCAACAGATGGTTTTTAAAAAAAAGCTAAAAAACCTCAACCTCTTTACATTAAATCTGCAGTACGATAAAATAGAATCTGTTGATCTGGCTTCTAACCTGATTAAGTTGAACACCTCTGCTCTACATGATAAATACTCTGTAGAGAGTAGCCACCTTCCAACATGGCATCTTGAGACAGGCCTGTCATAGCTCTTAGGGAATCTCCTTAACAGGGTCACTGCACCAGACAATGAAGCAAAACAAGCAGATCCTTATGAGACATTATCCCCAGCATCACAGTGAACATGTCAAGAAAGGCCTTATCTTTATTTCCCAATTCATTCTTACTTTTTGTCAAAGTTTTTTGCTGTGACCAAGCTGTCCTACCTGTTAATAGGAAATGGAGATGGATGATGAGATGAATCTTAATCTCCAGAGTAAAATGAATGTCACCAATAAAAATACAGACAGGCTAATGAAAGTGCTTTGGGAGAGTGGCAGAGTGGATTGCTGATGGTTCCAAGAAGCAGATTGCAAGCAATCTGACATAAGAAAAAAAAAAAACCTGAAGTAGAACCCATCTGCCTCAAAGTTTCAAAACCTGAAAATGTGAGAAGACAAAGTAAACCTCTTTACTATAAAAAGGGAGCACAAGCCATTCAGTAATAAAGGCACCTAAATGTTACACTGCAGAAAAATTCATATTGTACTCCATTATCAGATAGAATTCATACCCCTCATGAGAAATGGAGGATAAAGAATCTACTGCTTCCAGTGGATTCGTTCCATCAGATAATCAATGAGATCAATCATCTGAAAGATGTCACTGCCTGCAATTGATTGAGGCACTCCTACAATGGGATATTAATTCAATGATAGTGCATGTGAACAATCATACTGTTTTCTTCAATGCAAGCCATGGATTTTTTGAAGGATTCAAAAACCTTAGGCCCGAATGCATAAACCTTGTTTAGGGAAGGTAAAGGGGCCTTCAAGCTAAGGGGCTCTTTTTCTCCCATAAGAGTTCGTGTATTCTTAAAGGACTGTTAGCTAAAGGAGGTTTCAGCATTAGGCCTTAGTAGCTAACTCATGAGAAGAAGGGAAGAGACCAGTAAATAGATTAATAGGAGAGGGCTTTTTTAGGAACTGCAATGATATAGAGACATTCAGACTGGGTGAGAAGCCTCATCAGAAACACCAGGTAGGCTAGGCCGTGAAATCTTACTCGGGCAAGGTTCCACCGAATACGGGTGCACAGGTCATCAGAATTAGGGGATAGTTGCAATCGGGGGCTAAACTTTAGAATCGATGACACATGTTTTGGAGCAACCGAAACACCAAAGGATTATGCATTAATTCAGTCAATCAGGAGTAGAATGCGAACCGATTAACGACTGGATTAAGTTATTACGGTCTGGTGGATGACATCGCGGACAGCAAGAATATGCAGACACATCTATGTGCTCTTTAAACCGGCATCTGTAAGTGACCTAATGCCCTTTCACGCTTTTTCTCCTCTTCGTACCGATACTGGCTCTTGTGGAATAGGAGGGCATATGTATTATACCATGTCACATGAATGCAGCCATGATGGAATATGACGAAAAAAGTTGTAATTCCTCCCCAGTCCGCTTCGGAGCGACGTGCCACTCATATGGGCCGTTCACAAATTACGTAACGTGATTTTTAAACTTTTTTTGCCCCCCCCCCCCCCTTCCCCCTGCAACACTCCGTAACAAAAGCTTTGTCCCCCCCCCCCTCTCCATAACTTTTTTATTTGGCTAATTTCTTAAAATAATAAGATATAGTACATCAATAATTTTTTTTTAGAAAGATGTCACTAGTACACATGACTATCCATACGTGAGGTAACGATGGCTTCATGGTTAAGCCCAATTTACTCCCTTTTGACATGTCAGCACATCAGATTATGAGAAAATCTTCGACCATTCAAGAGCAACAGACCATCCTGAGCATACAAAAAGAGGAGAGGACGATTCATGACACGGCGCGAATTTCGATGCTCAGCCCGGCTTCGGTTTCCGACGTTTGGAGGAAGGAGATGGAGGAAATGTGAAGATGGAGAAGAGGGGAACGAAGAGGATCTAGTTTTCGGCTATCAATTCCTTTGACATTGACGTCTTAAGTCGGGAAGTACTGTATATGCGATGTACACGGAGACCAAGTACCCGGCCCTTGATTAGTGGAGTGAAGGAATCACAGGCTCAAACCTGGTATTGCATATATTTTTAGCAATGGAATAGTTATTCAGAAGCGTAATTCCGATGAAGATTTGCACCAGTTGTGCAATGAATCCCATTCGGCACAACAACGTTGTATCAACATTGAGAATAGGTTGAAACGTTGAGACTTGGTTGAAGTTGAGAATTCGACGAAAAATCAACATCAGTGAAATGCTAGCTATTCATAATTAACCGTATTTTCAGCATTTGGTGACTACTCGTGAACTAGGGAAGTCGTTCAGAGGCTATTAGGAGCAAATTAAAAAAAATCGTATTTTCAATGTTGTTTTTACGTGGAGTTATCCACATCATATCAACTAAAATTTGGTTCTACGAATCGACGCGAGATGGCACATAACCGCCAATTCCGCGATTCTTATCCTGATGCCTTTAAATAACCAATACCCTGCGTTTTTCAGACAGTACCCAATCTTTTCCCATTTACAGCATAGGGGAAGGTATAGGAATTCCTAGATAGACATGTTTAAGGAGGTAATCAGGCAGAAGGAGACCGAAATTACTTCTGGCTAGTGGGTCCGAAAAGACACGCTCAATTTTCCTAAATCTCCACATGGCACGCGCCCTTACTCAGACTCATCCATGATGGATAGAGTATAAAAACCATGCCCGCGAGGTTGTTTTCCTCTACTGGATCGAGAAGTACTTGAGTCATGCAAGTACTCAATGTGAATTCTCATTCAGTAGAGGAAATAAAACTCTGAGGGTCCTTTACGTGGGATGATTGTACTCGATAGAGTACTGCTACTATCATACCTCTTGGGAACCATCTATGGAGCTATCGAGTCCATATTCAATTTCATCCGACAATCAAAGCTCATTCAAACCCTGGAATAGGGAGGAGGTACTATAATGCCCTTACGTTGAAAATTCAACGTTGACACAACGTCGCACAGCATCAACTTTTCAACGTTGAGCTGTGTTTCATTTCAACATTGTGGCAACATCATGGCAACATGTTACGTTGAAAAGTCAACCTTTTCTCAACATTGAGGCAACATTGCCATCAACCTTTTTTCAACGTCGACACAACGTTGTTGTGCCGAATGGGATGACACCAGAGCTTTCTTTCCCACTCCTTGGTATTGGTTTAAGTATCTCCACAAAATGTTAATTAGTCCTCTTGTGAAGCAAGGACATGTTGACCACCCTCTACAGCAAAGTTGGTCCACAGATTCGTAGAGATTTGCATCAGGGATCAGGGGCGGATACAGGAGGGGGGGGGGGGCGCGACCGCCCTCCCTATGGCCCATTCTATTTTTATCCGCTTTTTAAAAAATAGCTTCTACATTAATTTTTATTGGGGCCAGTGAAATATATATTCAAGTTTTTACCCCAGACGAGAAATGAAAAAGGCGATAGAGCTGGGAGTGGTGGAAGGGTGGGGGGGGTCGGTAGGAAGTAGGGAACCGCCCCCCTATGAAAATTATCTGTATCCGCCTCTCTTTGGGATATGCAGCCCGCGGCCCGCGGACTGCATGTGGCCCCTGGACCTGCTTCTTGCGGCTCGGTAATGCATAATAGGAAAACAGATAAGTTTTCTTGCGGCCGAAGGCACATCACAAATTTGGTCATCCCTTAGTAACAAGAAATAGACTGAGTCCTTTCACTTCTAATTTTTCCTCACGCGGGCGGTGCTACATACTGTATGTCCCGAGGAAAAAGGTTCTCAATGCCAAAGGCTATTTTTGGAAGCTGGAATTTCCTAGGGGTGGGGAGGAGGTAAGGATAGGTAAGGAGCTAATCAGCGCGGTCGTATGCCCTCATGTCCTGAGGACATAAGAGGGGAGCCTTTTCTTTTGCATTCTGTGGCCCGCGCCAAGAGTCACACATTTCCATGCAGCCCACTACCAATAAAGGTTGCACACCCCTGGTATAGATCTTCATCAAACCAATCGACACTCTCGCCGTTTTCCTCCCAATCATGGCATGAGCTCTCTCAGTTTGCGAGCAGCAACTCGAATCGGCCTCACGGGCTTTTCCACCAAGTGAAGAGTAGCTCGTTTTTGGCGGTGCTCTTGCATGTGCTTTTTAAGGATGGTAATTGACGCAAAGTACCGATGACAGACCTCGCAAACCCGATCAGGCCGCACCGTTTGGACTGAAGGACAGTAAAAGACGTAAGAAAGATACTTGAACGGCCTTACAGATCTGGGAAGGACATCGTCAACCTTCAATGCCAAACTACGGTACGGGGGAAGGAATTCGAATGTCTCTTTTCCAATCCTCTCGGGTGCCTTCAAACCAACGGTTTGAATAAGAGGAATTGAGGGAGGAAAAAATCGCGATGGAAGGATGGAGAACAGGGAACTTCATGCCCCTAGAGCATGCATCTGAAAGTTGATATTTTTTCTGATCTTTGTGTCTCAGTAGGCACGTCCATAGCAAGTTTCAGCTTTCCATGTCACTCCGTTTGGCTGAAGCAAATATACGTATATCATTGAAAACATCTCCCCCCCCAAAAAAAGAAAAAAATGGGTGCCCCCAGAGAATGTACCTCCAAAGTCGGATTTTATCTGATCTCTGCATCCCAAAAGGAACATGTGTACCAAGTTTCTGATTTCTGACTTCTCTAGAACATGGTTAGAATTAGCGTCAGTCAGTCACTCAGTCAGTCACGATCGTCTATATATATTAGATACGATTTGAAATTTTCGAAGCAATCGTAATTACTTGAAAATCGAAATTTTCCTTATTGTATTTATATGTCTGATCTATTATACTCTGAAAGTGTTTGTATTTTGTTATTTTTGTAATTGCATTGCATAGCTAGAAACTTTCCTGGTTTCCTACATTTCTTAGTATTCTTACTCCCACACATCAAATCTCAGATGAAAAAAAAAATAAGTTGCATTTCATGACCTAAATATTGTATTTTATTTAAAAGTATTGAAATAAATATTATCTCATATGTATTTATATGTTTATTAATTTTATTCAAACCATTTAATATTCTGAATTTAAATATATTGAGCATATAAATAATATTTGCTTTTATAAAGTTATTACGAAAAGTACTGTTGGTGCTAGGGAAACCTGAGGGACGGGCGGCGCTGGATTAATATCTCGTAGAGGGCGCAAAAACCCTCGACACGGCACTGCATGCATGCCAGAGTGAAAACACTTCCCGCTTTCGCTTACCAGAAGCTCGGAAAGAAAAGGCGAATACTGCACTGCAGACACACCAGGACATCACTTCGTCCTTTTTGCACTTGAAACACGATGGAGAGGAAGACCGACGATGGAACCCTGCGTTCATGTCAAATGGTTCCCATCGTATCTCCCCTGTTCCTACTAGAATAGACAAGTTCTATCGTGCTCTCGACTCCTATCTATCTTGAGTCCACGGCACTTAGCATGGAGTTTCACGAACAGAACGAGACACATTGACGAGAGTAATAAAGATACCAGGAGTAAAGATAAATGCCCTTTCTCATCCATTGGGCGACTTTTTTTTTTATTACTAAAAGGTATTTTTCATCTTCATCTTACGAACGCGTTCTTGCAGAACTTACAGTATTTTTTCGTCAAAACTAATTTTCTTCACATTTAAATCTTCATACCAGGTGTACCCTAAACGAGCACCATCGCATCCAACGCAACCTTGAACTACCGATCCACAACGAACTGACCGACCCGTCCGACCTACGACTGAAATCCAGAAACCCTTTCTGGCTTAGGGGACGAACTCTTGCCGAATCCAACGAAACTGCTGAAGATAAATGACGTGAATCTTGGTTAAACACGAGCCTACCGAACGAACATGTTATATTGAACCCTTCCATCCAACCACCCTGCTTCATCCTACCACGCAAGATCTGGACTTCCCTAAATAGACTTCGAACATCCGATGCAATCATCTCCTCTACAAATGGAAGATGAAAGATGATCCAAGCTGCGAGTGTGGCTCCTGTCAACAGACCATGGACCATCTCACTTATTCCTATTCAAAAAGACCCTTTCCCGGAGGGATCACAGAAATCCACAAAGCTTCCCCTGAAGCCATCATTCGGATGTCTAAGCTGAGCGTAAGCATTTAACGGCGTTCCTATCCGGATAACCATACGGATGAAGAAGAAGATCAAGCGTTCACAGCGGTCACAGCGTTCGTCACATCCAGTAGGTATCATGTTCATCGTAGTGTGTTGACCGCGTTGATGTGCATGACGTTCGTGTTTTGGTCGATGGCGTTGCAGTGCGCCAAGACGTCATCGATCAGTTGCCTCCCGAAGTCACTTTTGCACTTTCTCATATTTGCGACTTAAAAAAAAATGAAATGAGGGAATGCACATAGCCAACGTGGGTCATCGGTGACTCGCACTCGAGCAAAAAATTCAGCACGATATCTGAGAACCAACTGCTAAAGACATCTCAGATGTTTCTCGAGCGGAAAAATAGTAACGCATTCAATTCTGCAATACCTTTGGTTCGCCGGTGGCTTAAAGGTGATGGTGGGCTTACCTCGGTAATAGTGTACTGGGGTCACCAATCCAGTTGGGGACGACGCAAAGATCCTGGAAGGAGAAATAAAAACAAATGAAGCCATTTTAAATGTGATACCAGGGGAAACTATGATGCAAAACAAAAGAGCTGAATGTAGGGCTCAAGCGCCAGTCAGATAAAACCTATTTATCTATTCTTTTGGCCCATAATACAGTACCTAGATGCGGAAGCTTGGACCCTGAATTCCCCACGAAACTAAGGGTCGAGCTGAATTTCTTTTGGGAAAGGAGCGTGAGAAACGGCTATTATGGAGAACTGGGTCAATGCTTCCGTTCTCAATCATGTCCAACCATTTCATCAACTTCTTCCCTCGCCCAAACTTCACCAGTACTTTTTTCATGAAATTCCAATCGACGAAGTCAAATACTTTTTTTTCTTCAAAATCCATAAATCATTTCAATTTTCTTTCTTCACATATATGCATCAAGTCATAAACGAACTAGTGCAATCACTGATACTACAGCCTCTCGTGAAGCCTTTCTGTTCTGTTCCAATCCATGGAGTCAATACTTTTTTTAAAACCGATTCGACAGTATTGACGTCAGGAGTTCATAGGATATATATAATAGAGACTTGGGTCGCCACTTTTATTATTATTGCATTCTGTTGAGTAAATATCTGTGATCGCATGCAACGAGTACGCACGCATGCTTATTTATTAATTTTTTTACATGTGAACATCGATTTTAAAAAATAAGTCACCCTTCGTAACTGAAATCACGGCCCCATTATTTTTTAATTAGACGAAGTGGTATGATGGAGAAAGAAGGGACTCTTCTCGCTCAAATCCAAAGTTTTGAAATTGAGCGTCAGAATTCGGACTCAGAAGTGATGGAGCCAATTGAATGCATGACTCTTGAGTTATTCTGACTGAAGCAGATGATCCATCAAAGTGGTTCATCTCTGAATCAGACATAGAAATTGGAAGTCTGGATATCGACAGCTATGAATCTTAACTACCGTACTTCGTATTTCAGAAAAACTCAATGTGATTTTTTTTTTTTTACAAACGATTGGTAACCTCCAAAGGGATACGAATTTCCCAAGAAACAGCACCACTTGCAATACATTCAGTCTGCCCTAGCCACAGTTGGATTTCATTTCAAGGATGCGGATCGGTCGATAAGAAGCATTATAGGAACAGTGACAGCTTGGACCTATCTTCGATTCCTCGACCAAAGAATCGAAGGCTTAGAAGACGATCGGCGAAATTCTACCTCTCGTTTGCACTCGATGAGTGTTTGCAATACTCGGTGGGTGGAAAGGCACGACTCTTGTTCTCTTCGTCGAAGTGCTCCCTCACGAAATTCAAGTATCATCAGGAGAGCATCAACGTGAAGAGATTCTACTTCGGCGAATTCTGCATTCCCCACTCGATCGGCTCACTGCACGCGTTGGTATTCGATTCTTGTTCTCTGTACTTAGTACTCTAGCTGGCGTCTCGATCATCACCATGCCGATTGCCAGGAGCATCCAAGTCGGAAACGTGGATTTCATACGTGCGTTTCACCAACTCGACACTTTGAGAGCAATATTGGGAAATTGGCGTCAAGAGGCGGAGTCTGCCTCCTTAACGAATTTTTTAGAAGCCGCAAGGGAGGCTCTGAGCCTGTGATATACCTCGAACAGTGCATTCAATCTTTATGCAGGATTTTTTTTCCTACTTCGATCGCTTCCCTACAGAAGACTCCGAAGATCGTGGGATCCTAGTGAAAACACCACGGACATCTCAACAAACAAACCATTTTAATGCTCCATAGAGGAATATCATCGCGCGCATTGAGTGGATTAAATGGACATGAGAAAAATATAAAAATTCAAACTCACACAACTTCACAAATTTTGCTGTTGGGGAGTTTAGGTTTCAACTTGTGCTAAAGGTGTCCATATGACCCATCGTTTCCCTACTTGAAGACGCTCGAAATTTCATCCTTCACGGTCTTGGCACTCATTTTGGATGGTCTTGAAAACAATATTTGTTTTCAGGAAGAAATTCAGAATTTTAAGCAGGATGCACAAGAATCATGAATTGTGGCATAACTCTCAGTTTCTATGGCATAGCTGCGTTCTGAAAAATAAGCATGAAGTTCTACGCTTGTAGTTTGTTTGAGGGGGAGGATTCTGAGTATAAGTTGGTAAACTTGAGTTCCCCGGAAAAATTGCAAGAGCCATAATTTGGGCCCTTCTCGTTTCTTCCAAACATTTTCCACCTATTTAAAAGTGTTTTTTAATATTTCATTTTAATATCAACAAGGACGCACGAAAATGCATCATCGAGTTATATGGACACGGGGTGTTCGAAAACCCATCACTTATCATGGGAAAAGAGTCGGGTTCAGCAGTCCGTACAATTTTCGTTCCACATGTGGATCACTTATGTGTACCAATACCTTTCAGAATTTTCCAATCGCCTATCGTAAAGTTATTGTTATGAGTATCGATAAGACAACAATAATTCATCATTATGGAAATTACTTCAAACAGGCACAAAACACTTTTTCTAAACGTTAATTTCAAGGTGAATATGTTCGTGCCCCATGGTAAAAGCAGATTCGAAATACGCCTGCTTAAATTCTGATACCTTTTAAAGCGCGCCTGTTGCAACCTAAGGAAACCCATTGGGGATCTTCATATGTAACCCGACCTGTCCATATAACCCATCGTTACCCTAAATGATACAGAATCACACCTCACCTGGATCGGCAAGTTTTACCCATTTTTGTGAAAATGGAGACATCTCATGAAGTGTTTCAATGGTACTTAAAGACTTCTCATTCACGTCCACAATACAAAATAAGAATACAAAGAAGCAAGAAATGCCTTCAAGTATAGTTTCAGACTTATTTTCTGATGAATAGACTGATGCAAGCCAGTGAGGTGAGACCGAAGAAGTTCGAAAAAGATAGCAGGGCGCGCATTTACTGTATGTACCGAAGATTGGAAGAAGAGATTAATGTGCAACGAAAATTAACATTACTATTACTGGGGTATTGCTAAGGATTACTGGGGATCCCGAGAAGAGGTTAGAAGAAACTGTTTTGATCCTTTCTCGTGTCGTTTCCGTTGCACTGCCATGCTTTTAAGAGGTAATATGTTCACTTTCGATAAATAGGTATTGTGATGCAGGTGTAGAGGATCGAGAGATCCCAAGCCCATCGGTTCGAACATGACTCCCGCATGCTTCTCGAGAGATTCACAGAGTCTCCGAATCCAACACGACCGGCAGAAGACCGGTCGGTGGACGGACTACGTCGCGAACGTTTGCCACGAGAAGATCGGTGTACCATCAGCCGAGCTCGAGTCCGTTGCCCACGATCTCGAACACGGTCCGATGCTCCTTCGTCTGCTCGGGCCGAGACCCCATTCCCCATGACCCCGGATGAGCGGTACGTACGTACGGTAAGTACGGTGTCGACTCGGAGGATATACGATAGGAGCATTCGACACCGCACATCACGCGACTCGTGCTTTCGTTTTTTCTCGTTCGTGCTTGTCGATCCCCAAAGATATGACGGACCCATCGGACGTGCTCACGACGACATCATCCATATCAGGCTACAATTGAAATCCGAGTACCTTTGTGGGATGCCGATTGCAGTGTCTCCCACTCTCAGGCGATTCATTCGGTCGGGTCGATCTCTTCTTACCGTCCGTGCCTTCATTCTTATAAATGAAAGGAAAACCCGTAAA